TTTTTTTTTTTTTTTTTTGAGGCAGGGTCTCACTATGTAGTGCAGCCTGGCCTTGAACTTGCTCATCTTTCCGAGGCTGTTGGCTTGTAATCTTGAATTGTAGGATAATCTACACTTTATACTTTTCAAATCAGTTTAGGAAACAGGAGAGAAAGAAAAGTTTAGCATTTTTCATGTTTTTGGAGGGTTGGTTTAATTTTACAGTACAAGGGGTTAAATGTAGGGCTTCATACATGTTAGGTAAATACCGCCAAGCTACAATGCCACCCAAATTTTTTAGAAAATAAAGAAATACTGAAAGAAAAATAAATGTCAGATAATTAACTGGCACTTTAGAAATCTGACATTTTGAAAACGTTTTATTTTGGTTTGAATTTTAATTTTTGAAAAACAAAAAACAAAACAAAACAAAAAAAAAACCTTTAAAGGGCTGGGGAGATAGCTCAGTAGAATAAGTGCTTGCCTGGCAAGCACAGGGTCCTGAGTTCAAATTCCCAGTACTGAAAAAAAAAAACCCTTTGAATTTTGATTTTTGGTGTTGGGATCAAACTCAGGGCTTTGCACATGCTGTATACCCCTGAGCTATGTCCTCAAAGTTTCAGTTACATTTAAATTCTAAACAACATGGTGAGTGAGTCAGTCTTTTAAATGTACCTCGTGGTTTCCTTAAAATGAAAAAAAGAAAAACAACTAAGCAGGCTTATGTAATCATGTTTCCAGAGCATGTGGTCAAGAGTTGGGATTGGCTGATTGCTTCTTGGGTGTGTATACACATCTTAAGACTGAGGAGTGTCTAGCAGTCTTCCATAAGTAGGTTTTTGTGCAAATAGCTTTTTGTTTAGTGCCGTTGCAGTACATGTTTGTTTGTGTTTTGGGAGAAGGTCTCACTATATAGTCACTCCAGCACATTTGGGTGGGTCTTATATCAACCAGGATGAGCTCCATGTCTCAGAGGCTGGAGGTCAACCTTAATTCATTCAACAGAACAGCAAGATAAGTTGCTTTTTTTGACAGCGATGACGGCACCATATGTGCAGACCAGTCTGTATAGTACCTCTCACTGGCATCATGCACTATAAGATGGCATGGTGGTGGCATTTTGAAAAAAGCACTAGGCTAGTGGTTAGCATACCCAGGCCAGACCTCTGCTCCATCATTTATAGATAGCTGACCTTCTGACGTTAAAGCTACTTCTTAATCTTTTGGGGGCCCACATTTTCATTGGTAATCTGAAGATGTAATCTGGAGCCATCCGCCCTGCCATTTAGAGTTGTGACACTGAATTGCTAAGTGTGAAAAATCATAAGTTACTTTAATTAAAGATGACCATCTATAGTAAACCTCATGACGACCTATAGTAAACCTCTGTGTAATCCTGTCTTTACCAATGCATTACAACTCTGTATTCTTGGTTCCTAAGTGAATAGCTAGGGATCAGTACAAATTTAACTTCTATCCTAAATTAGCATGGAAAAATAAATATGTGTGCACAGTTGCCTGTAAGACCTAAAGCTTTTAGCATTTTTTTTTTTTTGCCTAACACCTAGTTTAGTGAATTGCACACCTGATTTAGTCTGATTTACATTTGTGTTCTCATATGAAGTAGGTGTATTTTCCTTTGCAATCTTCTCTATTATCCATTGATCCAGCAAACTTTATTCTCTAGTCCCAGTCACTATATTGTTGATTTGTTGCAGCCTCGATCAAAAAGTGGCACCATAGACAAGCCCAGGTGTGACACACCAAATTAGCTTTGTGTTAGAGATCATTCAGTTTATAAAGAAAGACTGGAAGTGGAAGCTGGAAGGAACCTTACAGATTCTGTAGCCTAATTTGATCTTATTTTCAGTTTCACAGACAAGAATAATTTAAATCTAAAGAACTTTTAAACTCCTTCAGTGTCTAATGACAGAATCAAGATTATAGCCTATTTTTTTTACGTGTAGCCAAGTGTTTTTTCTTATTTTATAGCTAGTCTTTCAGGTAAGATTGATGGTATTACCTACTCAAAGTACCTGTCCACATAAATAAAATTATGGGCTACAGATAAGGAAATTAAAATGAACAGAAGTAGATGTGAAGAAGGAAGAAACAATTCTGGAATTCCTTAAAACATTCTTATGTTAGTTCTTCAAAGTGAATTTCATGTGTCCCAAATGCACATAAAAATGTGGTTTGCTCATATGCTCATTTCCAGTGTTGGCTAACATAATTATCTTAGTTGCTTTTCTCTTGGTGCTGTGCCAAAATACTGGACACCCAAAATTAAGGAAAGAAAGTTTTGTTTAGCTTACAGTTAGTGGAGGTTTCAGCCCATACCCAGCTGGCTCGAAGGCAGAGTGGCACAAGACAGAGGGCAGCCATTCATGTCACGGAAAATAGCAAAAAGCAAAGGGAGGAGCACAGCTGCAGCAGCTAACAAGCCTCTCTCCCCTCCCCTTTTATTTTATTCAGGCTATCCACCCTAGGGCAGGTGTAGCACTCACATCCATAATCCCAGCATTGGATCCTTGAGCTAATCACAAATTCTGGAAGCCTGCCCCAATGACTGCATGAGGCTTTGAGGGGACAGCTAGACGTAAACCATAACAATGGTATTAACTTATTTTCTTTTCTAAATGACCAATACTGTGAAAAGCATCAAAGTAGTGTATCAGCAACTGTCTGTCTAAAAGTCTTCTCTGAGTAATTGTTAAATTCCTCCAATACTTTAGAGTCAAGAATACTGTGCATTGAATGCACAGCAGTGGGGGTTCACGTTCTCTTTTATATATATTGGGTTTTTTAGAGATAGGGTCTCACTATGTAGTTCAGGCTGGCCTTGAACTCACTGTGTAGCCCAAGCTGGCCTTGAACTCACTATGTAGCCCAAGCTGGCCTCAGACTTACAGTGATCATCTTGCCAGCCTCCTGAATGCTGAGATAGCAGTTGTGTGCCACCACGGCCAGCTGCGTTCCTATTCTTACTTCCAGTTGTGCCCTCTAAAGTGCATGTTACATAGCCTTTGTATAATAATGTTTGTATATTAATGTAATTTAGATCTAATAGGCATATCTACTGGTATCTAAATATGATTTAAGTGATTTTGCATCATCTTGGGTATGTTTCCTAGTATGGTTTCCTTTGTGTAGTTTCCCAATCAATGTACTAGTATTATTCCACATATCAAGGCATTTTGTAAAAAGAAAAATAAAACTATCTTGCTTGTGATACATAAGATTTGGTTTTTGGGATTGTATTAGTAAGTGTTTTAGCCACATAGAGACGTATACGCTTGCTTGTGTTTGGTGCTGGGGATTGGACCCAAGGCCCAGTGTATCAGCATGTGCTATACTACTGAGCTATACCCCAGCCCGCAGACACTGTATGTTAATCATTTCAGAGGGATTGTAAAGATCATCTGGCAGGCAGAATCATAGGCTAACGATACTGTTTTCAGTTTTAGAATATTTGTAGCTATTACGTAAATGTGCCCTAGACTCTAGGATTGCATGAGATTGTCTGCTAAATCTGTCAGTGTAGGACAGAAAAGTCACTTCTGTTAGATAACTACACAAGATATAATGCAGCTGGCGCCTACAAGTTACCTACCCCAACCCACCCACTACTCCTCTGCTCTTTCTCCATCCTAAATCTGAGGCTACCTTTAGCTTTGGCGAGGATCCGTTCTAGTACTCTAGTGCTGTGTGCTCAGCTGGGCTCTGTGTAAGTGCTACAAGATGCTCAGAAGGGAAACCAAAGGCTTGGCACACTTACTGGTACCATTTAACGGATGAGCAGTCTGATGGCTAGTATACATAGGTACCAAGGTGCTGATTTTTCTAGTAAAATTGATCTAAAGCTAGGCGTGGTGGCACATGACTATAATCCCAGCATTATATTATTGAAAAAAAGAAAAAATCTAAAAGCAAATGTGTGGAGGTCTGATCAAGCAGTCTGAATTTAATACATTCAGCCAAGCCTACAACCCAAGCCAAGTCATCTGCTGACCCTCAGCATGATTTAAGTAATGTGTACAAATTAGGTAAGGATTTAGACTTAGGAGCTAAAACAGATTGAAAAACCTTAGAGATAAAATTCTCTAAAAGTGAATACTTTTTAGTTAACAAAAGTCTGAAATGGATTTTTAAGACAAATGTTGATTTTTTTCTAAACTAAAATCTTAGTATTTCAGTTTATTTGCAGTTTGGGTACACTTTTCTCAAAGGTTTGCTGCCACTGCCAAGGCATAGGCCGAGCTGTGTTCTGCTGGATCCGGTGAGGAAGGTGATGAGGACACACTCTGTATAAGTTGTGTCTGATGTGTTGCATTACATGGCCCTCAGCAGCAGCATTCGCCATACTTTTTTTTGGTCACATTATAAAAACATTTATGAAAAAGTACTTTTAGATCTACTTCAGAAAGTATCAAGAATGATGGGACAAGTTTTAGGGAGCATTTTGAGCAGGATTATGGCAAAATGGCTTTTACTATAATTTTTAAAAAATTTAAATATTTTCAGTCTCCTCTTGTACATGAATATTTTTTATCTGTATGTAAACAGATACTATAGTTAATATACAGTATACTAACTTAGTTATTATTAAGAAATAATATGTTTACCTCAGCACCACAAAAAAAAATACAGAAGTCATATTTGTATGTTTTTTAATTAGAACACGTTTATGGCACACAGCACTTACATTCCCTGTATGGAGTCGAGATGTGTGCGTAACACCTCCTGGTTCCTTTTTTCATCCCCTTTCCCTCTGATCCCACCATCTCATCTCATTAGAGAAAGAGCTACCTCCCTACTTGCTAGTATTTATCTCTTATTTTGCTCTTTATTTATAATTTGGGTTTCTCGTATAAGAGGAATCATGCAGTATGTAAGCTTTGTGCTTGGTTTATGTCACTTTACATGATGGTCTTAGGTGCATCCATTTGCCTGCAAATGACTCGAGTTTCTCTTTCTGTATGGCAGACCAGGTTGTTAGTGTTTAGTCCTCATCAGCAGCGCATATTGGCTTGTTAGATGGACTAGAAATGGCCTCTGGACTTGCATGTAATTCATCAGATTTCATTATGCTTAATTTCTCTCCTAACTTTTCAGCATCCCTCAGAGACTGAAAATTTCTTCCATTTTTCTTCCTTCTTTGGAAGTAGCGAGTTTTTCAAGAGATTCTACTATTTCACTTCTCAACTCATCTTCAGATTCTTCAAAAGTTCTGAAATAACAAGTAGGACAAATCAGTGTTATGAGAGCACTGAAGTGAAAATTACCTGCCTTTTTTATTCTCCACCCACTTTTGAAGAGTGGAACAATATGAAAGCTGTGTTTTAACTTGAGTAATAAGTTATTATATCAGTCTGGCTTTTCTAATAGTGATTACTAATGTTGTGAGACGCAGTTCTCTGATTAGTTGAATTGTGTTCAACAGCCTTTATTGTATTTATTTATGTCCTTCTACACTTAATGATTAAGGGGCCAGGGAGATGGCTCAGTGGAATAAGTGCTTCTCTGGCAAGCACAAGGGCCTGAGTTCAATTCCTGGTTCCATAAAATAAATAAATAAATAAATACAGCCTGCTTTTAATTGTTTGGGGGGCTGGGGAGATGGCTCAGTGGAATAAGTGCTTCCCTGGCAAGTGCAAGGGCATGAGTTCAATCCCTGGCTCCGCAAAACAAACAAACAAACAAAAAATATTAACATTACACTTAATGATTAAGAAGAGAAGCAAGAGAGAGTGAAAAATAAAATTGCTACCACATATTAAGCCCTAACTATATGCCAATCAGTGTTGTAGGGCACTTTCACATCTTATGTTTCATTTAATACTAATAATAACTCAATGTTGACATCATCAGATTATAGAGAAACTAAGGTTCATGAGAGGTTAAAAAAAAATAAAAATCCAACGTCCCATAGGCCCTAAGGTTGTTTGCTAATATTCCACTAATTTTGGACCACATATGAGAGTGGAATTATAAGATTATGATGCAGCTGAAATATTCCTGTTACCTAATGATGACCTAGTCAAGTAAGGTTGAGGTACAATGCACTAACTCAGGTTTTGTGCTGATTCTGGTGTAAACAAACCTATTATGCTGCCAATCATATAATAGTACACCCAATATTGCATAATAACAGACTGTTATTTGTTTGTATATTTACTGTACTACAGTTTGCCATTTTATTTTTGAAACAGGGTCTCACTATGCAGTTCAGGCTGGCCTCATGCTCATTTTTTGTAGCCCCCAGGCTGGCCTCAAACTCTCAGAGATTCTCCTGGCTCAACTGCCTAAGTGCTGCTAATACAGGCCTGCACCACCCAGTTCTGGGGCTGCACAGTGGGAGCCCACATCTGAGGCTGAGATGGCTTTCCTGGGCATCCAGGGCCAAGAACACACAGCATGTGGGGCCAGGGATTGAACTTGGGTCCTTGTGTTTGCCAGGTAGGTGCTTATGCCTCTGAGCCATCTCTTGTTACCTAGCTATCTCTTCAGCTATCTACTTATGATTTCCTGTAAGGTAGGCATGGTGGTGCACTGTGGCACTCAGGGAGGCTGAAGCAAGGGGACCACATTTTCAAGCACACCTGGGCAACTTAGTGAGAACCTGTCTCAAAATTAAAAAAAATAAAAATAAAAAATTTAAAGGCTGGGGAAGTACCTTAGCATGAAGGCCCTGGGTTCAATCCCCAATATCACCAAAAAATATATACTGTAGAACGTGTATTGTGTCACTGCGCCAGCAGCAGATGCACCCATCTTACCCTTTCTGCATCTCCTGACTGGAGCAGGAGGCCATGCTGAATTACTGGCCTATAGTATCCAGGCCTGTGGAAGTGCACTCTGTCACTTTTGCTCAATGATGAAATCACCTGCCAGTGCATTTCTTAGTTCCATCATTAAGTGGCATATGACCGTACGTAATTAACAGAACTAGGAAATGAGACAGTGATTGAGACTGGGCATGGTGGTGCACACCTGTAATCCCAGCTCTTCGGAAGCTGAAAACTGAGGATCACTAGGAATCCAGTCTACGCAGTGAGCCTGTAGTCCCTGTACTAAATACATTTTTTTAAAAAATGATACTGGAAAAAATAGAGTCCAGAACAAACCCATGCATATAATAAAACTTGGCTTCCTAAGCTGAGTACAGTGGCACACAAGTCTGGTCCCAGCTACTCAGATGGCTGAGGCAGGAGGATCACCTGAGCCCAGGAACCTCTGGCAACATAGTGAGACTATGTCTCTTAAAAAGAGGAAAAGAAAAAAGAAAATTTTGGGGCTAGGGAGATAGCTTAGCAAGTGCCTGCCTAGCAAGCGCAAAGTCCTGATTTTGATCCCTGTTACACAAAAGAAGAAAGAAGAAAAGAGAATTTTGGTGTCCGTAACTCCCTCTCTGTTGGCTATCTTGTGCATCAACCAGAGCATTTCTTCTATTTTTACCTCTGTTCAGAGGAGGCATCTGCACACAACCTACTTATGTATCAGCATCGTCAGATGCTGGTTCCAGCAGCTCCTCATCTGCTCCAGTGTAAGAAGCCATTTCTGCCTTCCCCACATCTGCTTTAGGCCACTGCTGTAATGTTCCTACTGTTAAAGAAATGACAGTGAGACTGAGGCAGTCCCGCCCATACACTGGATGACAGTATGTACCAAAAATCCTGTAGTCAGTTCCTACGATGATGGTAAAACCTAAGCATCTGCACTTAAACAGAGTAAGCCAGGGAAGACCGTGTACCCCTAATTATTGAGGGTCATGCTGAATGTACTAGGCAGTGACCCCACTCATAGGGTGCATGCTTTACTTGGGTAGAAAATTTTGAGAAAAGCATGTGTGTGAAAACTTAAGAACTGCTGAAGTGGACCACTCTCCTTCTCCCGTTTCTGTAAACTAAATGTCCGTCCATCTTATCATTAAGCTCAATCACTAATAGCAGGTTTCTGGAGAACAAAAAGCTTTATTGGGTGGCGGTGGGAAGGAAGACCAGGAACTACAAGCTCCAATCTGAGTCTGCAGTCAGTAGATAGCAGGGGACATTGTAGGAGGGGGAGGGCCTGCTTCTGTACAAGACACTGGCTTCTTTGGCAGGGAACATATGCTCTTGGAAGGAGATTGTGAGCTTGTGATGTCACTGAGCAGATGACCTGGCCTCTGCTCAGCTGTGTGCCCAGGCCTCACCTAATTTCACCATATCAAAATGATTCATTGGTACAGGTTATTGCAAACATGTCACTTAAGGAACTGTAACTTCAGAAAGGAAAATCTGGTGTGTCTTTTCTTACACAGTTAAACTTTGGACTAACACATTCCCTTCAAGGATTCTACAAGACAAACATTTGCAGTGTTTGGTAAAGTTGATGAACCAGTGATGTCATGCAGTATGAGTGGCGTGTGAGGTCAAGTATCATAAGAGCACAACTAAGCCGGTGGTCCCCTCTCTCACTGCAGTATTGAGGGTGGTCATCTCCCAACAGGAGGTTGTGGGGGAGATCTCCTCTGCAGAGGAGGAGGAAAGGGTGGGGGAATCCCTCACTTCAGATGAGATAAGGGAGATGTGTAAAATATGAGAAATGGTGCAGAATTCTGTAAAGAAAGCACCACCTGAATAAGGCTATAGCAATGTAGTGATAAATGTGATTAATGAAAATGCAGTGTCACATTTCCACAAAATCCTCAAAAGGAGGCAAAAACAAGTGTCATTGGCTAGGTTCCTTGTTAAAGTTGCACAAAAGGAAAAGATTTCCCTGGACCAACACAGCAGTGATTCTGTTAGTTACAGTGAACTCTCAACAGTCCTCCTGCCTCAGCCTCCTGAGTGCTGGCATTACAGGCATGCACCACCACGTCCGGCTCAGGTTGAAGGTATTTCTACCCCTTTTCTGCATTCACAGATCTTTGACAAAATTCCTCAGAGGGCTGAGGATTATGGCCAGGTTAAAATTAAACTACAGCTGGGCATGGTGGCACACACCTGTAATCCCAGTACTCAGGAGGCTGAGGCAGGCGTATCATCATGAGTTTGAAGCCAGCCTGGACTACATAGTGAGATCCTGTCTCAAAAACTACATACCAAGATCTCCTTCACTGGAAGAAAAAGAGTTGCCTGTTAGATGTGCTGCTGCCAAAACAGTCAGTAAAATTCCTGGTGCTTCACGCCGCCAAGGCTTCCTACTGTCTGGAACACCTTCCATCACAATCACTTGGCCATCTGCAGAGGAAACTGTGTTACCAGAGACAAGAATGCTTCTTTACTTAAGTTTCTATAAAATCCAGAGCATTAGCACCTTGGAGATCATTCCACCTCAAATTTTATTGCCAAAGAAGCTAAATAGGTTTAGTTTACTTACTGTGTCACAGCTGCTGAGACAAGTCATGTATTGCCCTTACCCTGACTTTTTGCTGTGATATAATTTCCATTCTGTTTACTTAAGCTCAGTTTCCCTTCACTTGTTAAGGTTTAGATCTAGGGTCAGCCACATAATTTAGCAGATTAAAGCACTTGGGGGTCAGGGGATTCGATGCTGGGCCTGCTGTGCTGGCCGTGTCCCCCCACCCCCCGGGTGTGCTGAGATGGCAATTGAGACTGGGTGAGGAGGCGCACGCTTGTAATCCCAGCTCTTGGGAGGCTGTATATAGGAGAATCACTACAAGTCCGATCTAGTAGTGAGACCCTGAACACCCTGTAGACCCTTCCTTAAAATACAGAAAAAAAAAAAAAAAAAAAAAAAAGATTTTGATCTAAAATATCCCTTGGATGTCTCCTGTGTCAGAGGTGAGGCCTGTGGAAGGCACATGACTGGGTCTGAGGTGTGGGGGTTGGAGTGAAGGGGTGCCTACCCCTGGCACAGGGGCACCTATTCATCGGGTGCAGCCGTTCATGAGTTCATAGCTGAGTGTGCCCTCAGGACTGGGTCATTTTGAGCATGTGCTGGAAGGGTGCGTTCTCATCCCCGACTCCTCCTCTCCCTGCTTCATGGCTGCCAGGGGTGAGCAGCTTTCTTCTGCTATGCCTTTCTACCACACCATTTCTCTTTTTTAAGTTTATTGAATAATGTAATACAAGAAGCCACAGGACAGAGATACAGCTCAGTGGACAGTGCTTGCCTGCAAACACAAGATCCTGAGTTTGATTCCCAGGACCAGAAGGAAAAAAAAAAAGCCAAACACATTCTCTACAGCCACTTCTCACTACAGAAGGCCATAACAGCAGAAACAATTACTGCCTACTTAAGGATTTTGCTGATTTGATTACTACTACCATAGTTCCTATGTTGTCAAGAAATGTAAACCAGATACAGCTCATGACTTTTAAAAAATTTACAAAGCTCCATTTCTTTTTTCTTTTTCTTTTTCTTTTTCTTTTTCTTTTTTTTTTTTCCAGAACCGGGGATTGAACTCAGGCCCTTACACTTGCCAGGGAAGCGCTTATTCTACTGAGACATCTCCACAGCCCCCTACAAAGCTCCATTTTTGTCACCAAAATAATACATTTGAGAAGGATTTGTAAGTGTGAGCAGCCTGGAGCTGTGAAGCTGGGCAAGGTTTCCTAGGGGTGCCATGGGGCGCTGGTTCCAACCCAGAGTTTCTGACGTGCAGCCGATGAACCAGGTCTGAGCCTCCTGAATCGTGAGCCAAATAACCTCTGCTGCCTTAGGCTGAGGGTACTGGGCGTTCTGTCTAACCGACAGGAAAATGACTAATGCATGCACTTGTCTTACTGAATTTTATAAGTCAATTTTTATACTTTGTAATTATGAGTTTCAGTAGTATCAGGGTTGTGGAACTCAAGTTGTTCTAAATTCCTGTTTGAACACCAAAAAGTTTGCAAACTGAACATATTTTTCCCATAAGAAATAATGGAAAGCCAAGTAACTGGCTCTGAGGCCCCAAAATTAAACTTATAAATTCATTTTTCCAGGACTTTATCTTACAGTAATCTCTTTCTTTCGTTCTATCATTGTTCTTACAGTTTTCCTTATTTATTTATTTATTTATTTGGCAGAACCAGGGATTGAACTCAGGGCCTTGTGCTTGCCAAGGAAGTGCTTATTCCACTGAGCCATCTCCCCAGCCGTATAGTTTTCCTGTTGGCTTTACTTCTGATACACTTCCTTCGGAGTCACAGCTACAATATTTTTACAAATGAAGTGTTTAAAAAAAACCCTTAGTGACTAATGTTTTAACACACTGTGTTGTCAGGGTGAGAATAGAGGTTAGACCAAAAGGTCACTATCTTACTACTTTTCTCTCATTGCTGAAACAAAATACCTGACACCCAGAATTAAGGAAGGAAAGGTTTATTTAGCTCACAGTTTGTGGAGGTATGATGGCTAGAAAAAGGAAAGATACAGATGGCGAAGAAGTCTGTGAAGCATTCTGAGCCTTTGACAAGCATGAACATGGTTACATCAGTGCTGCAGAACTGCATCATGTCATGACAAACTTAGGAGAAACACTAACAGATGAAGAAGTAGATGACATGATCAGAGAAGCAGGTATTGATAGAGACAGATGAGTCAACTATGAAGAATTCATACGGAGGATGACTGCAAAATGAAGACCTACTTTCTACTACTTCGACCCCCCCCAGAAGAATCAAACTGAATCTTTTATTTACCTTTTCACAAAAGAAGAAAAAAGTTCATTTATTCATTCTATTTCTATAGCAAAACTGAATGTCAAAAGTATCTTTGTCCACACACAAAATCTGCATATATTGGTTGGTCCTGTCCCCTAAAGATCAAACTACACATCAACTTTGTAATATAAATAATTGTACTACCTTAATGATAAGGAGGGACGTAGTGGACTCCTTAAAGTTCCATTTGCTAATTATTAATACAGTGTGGGCTAGCTTGATGATTGAGCATAGTCAAGCATTTGTATTAAAATCGAAAAATGAAAAAATGAGTTCAAAACCTAGGAAAGAAAAAGAAAAAGAAAAAACTCTAGCAGCCTGCCCCATGACCACATTAGGTTTAGGGGGGACATCTAGACATTACCAGTAACAGTAACCTCTTTACATTCATTGTGACGCATGACTCTTCCTCCCCCCATACAGGTTTCTTCAAGTTGGATTTTCAGTTTTACTGTCTAGCAAAGTTATAAACACAGAATAGATTATTTTAAACTTTTCTGTTTGAGCAGTGGAAAGCTCAAGGTGTGAAAATTCAACAACTAAGGTATCACTGTGTACTCATCCCTTAGTATACAAGGAGGATGGGTCCCAGGACACCATGGATACTAACCTCTGTGGGTGCTCAAGTCCTTTATATGCAATGACATAGAATTTTCACGTACTCTATGCACATCCACTCATTTACTTTATTTTTCTTTTTTCTTTTTTCCAGTGTTAGGGATTGAACTCAGGACCTTGTGCTTGCCAGGCAAGCACTTATTCCACTGAGCTGTCTTCCTGGCCCACTCTCATTTACTTTAAATCATCTCAAAATGGCTTGTGACACTACGACAGACATGGTATATATATATATATATTTTTTTTTTTCCAGAACCGGGGATTGAACTCAGGCCCTTGTACTTGCCAGGGAAGCACTTATTCCACTGAGCCATCTCCCCGGCCCGACAGACATGGTATGTAAATAGCTGTTATTCTATACTAAAGATAGTGACAAGAAGTCTGTACATATTCCACACAAATGTAGGTTTTTTTTTTTTTTTTTTTTTTCAAATACTTTCCATCCATGGTTGGTTGGATCTGAGACCATGGAGGGCTGACTGTACTTACATACTTCAACACATAGCACAGGTATAAAATTTAGCTCTCTCTTCGCTCTGCCATGTATTTAAGAGGAACACAGAAAAAAAGTAATAAAATCTTCACAGCCTGTGAAGACGATGCCCAGAGGTTGCAGTTATGGCTTGTGTTTACACTTCCCCCCACAGCTTCCTGTGGTCATGGGTATGGTTTTTCAGAGGTGGCTGGGTCTAGAGTATGTGATGGACTCATGGTGCAGTGCTGGCATTGACAGTGTGTGATTTGATTACTATATCAGTCCACTCATTGGCTTGGCACTGCCTAATCCCAGTAGCCTAGATAGAGCGTAAAAGAGGCAGAAAGGCACTGTGAAGGCCCCTCGTTGCCTTTGTGTCTTCCACTGCCATGAGCTGTTGCCCCTTTGCCCTGTGCCATGCTGTTTGGAGCCAACCAGTTATGGACTGGAATCACTACAAACTGTGAACTAAATAAACCTTTCCTCCTTTAACTTTGGGTGTCAGGTGTTTTGTCTTAGCAATGAGAAAAGTAACTAAGATAGTTACCCTGACCACCTAAGGCATTGTCATGTCAGAGCTTCAAATATAACACAGAAATTCATGTTGAAAATATCATCACAGGGGCCACAGAGATAGTTCAGCAGTCTAAGTGCCAGCCTAGGCAAGCACAACGACCTGGGTTTGATTCCCAACACGACATGCTGTGCTGGCCCTACCCCAAGAGTACCGAGCCAGTCACCAAGACCAGACAAGGTGGTGCACACCTGTAATCCCAGTGCTGGGGAGGCTGCAACAGGAGGATCACTATGAGTCTGAGCTGCATGGTGAGACCCTATACCAAATATATAAAAAGGAAAATGTCATCATGCCCTAAATAAATACTCCAAACATTTTACTAATGCCTTGGCTTAAGAAGCGATTTTTCATGTATCGCTGTCCTGTTGAATCTCAAGTTTTATAAGAATAGCTGTAATTTTAATTCCATTTTAGTGGTGAGAAGAACAGCCTTCACAGATTTGCAAAGAAGTTACAGAGTCACTGGAAGCTAAATCAAGTCGACTGCCCTTCCTTGGGGCTTCTCCCTCACTTCAACTAGGTGGGAGTCTGGATTGTTTCTCTTTTACTTCCTCGTGACTGGGGCAAACTGATTAGGATGGTCAGCATGTAAGTCTTAGAAACCAAAACAATGTCTTTAATTTTGTTTGGTATAAAATCTACAAGGATCTTACTGAGTAGGGGAACAGTCACAACAGGACAAGCTCTAGCAACCCTGCTGTTTGGGGCCCCGTCTTCCCTCACTGCTGGCTTGCCCTAACAGACCAGAGGCTCACCGTTAGGAGCAGGGGGGCAGGAGGAGGTGACATCAGCAGCTGCCATCATTTGCAGCAGAGTCCGAGGTGCTCTGGCATCCCATTGCCTCCTGTTTTCTGCTGCCACAGCATCCTGAGTGAAAAGCTCTACACAAAAGAAATAAGTTCTCAGTTCAAAGCATCCCCAGTGTGACTTGCTGCACCACACAGACCAGCAGCTGCTATGTGCGAAACCTAGAAACTGCCATGCTCCTAACCCAAATGGGAAGTTACGAGACTGCAATTACAAGCAGGTTTAGAACTGCTTCCCTTTTATTGTTATTATTATTAACAACATCCAATTGACTAGTCAGCGTAAGTGCTAAGGAAGTACCAGTGGCACGAAGGGGCAGATTCACTGCGGCACGTAGGAGAGCCCCAGCGTGAGGCAGTTTCCACAGGATGCACGCTATTGCAGTCTTCATTCAAACACTGACTTGTAATAACTTTTTCTTTTTACTGTTTTCACTAGAAGATATTTGAAGATCAGATAGGAAGAAGGAAATAAAAATTACCCATAATCTCACTGTCCAGAGGCCACTGAAATATCAAAAATTTCTCTTCATTTTTGCAGTTTTAATACAAAAATTGAGCCCCACACAACATAATTTCTCATTACTTGCTTTTCGTGGTGTTACTAAGTGTTACATAGGTTATCAAATGTTCTTCTATACTATCATTTTAAAGCAAACATGGTATTTTTCCTTGTGAATATATTATAATTTAATTCTTTTGCTGGCTTTTAGGTTGCTAGCAAGTTTTCATTGTTATAAATAATAGGAAAATGACCAATTATTTACCCTACATAAACTGATAAAAGTGACAGTTCGAGATACTAGTATTATTTATTTTACCAAAGCTTTTACTAATGTTGATTCTGTGATTTGTGTGTGTGTATTGTGAATAGCTATTTTTTCCCCAATTACCACCTGCTTTCTTTTTCTTCATCTTTTTAAAAATAACTACTGATGTGGATCAATCACACATAAGCATTGTATCCATCTGGCGGAGCTGGTGCACACACACACCACATCCTAGTCGTCTTCAGTCCCCTTCTGCTCCCAGCTCTCTCCTCTGCCCCTGCCCTGAGAGCCCCCTCCCATCTCCACAACCCACCTTCCTGTTTTCTGTCTCCTCTTCTGCTTGCACTGTCCCAGCTCCTGTACCTGTCTCTCCCACCTGGAGTAGGCCCGGCCCCCAGTATTGCCCACTGCAGCCAGCAGGTCCTTCTCAGTCACAAGTCCTGCTCGGCACCCTGTGATGGAAAGACATCCCTGCCTCGGCCTAAGACAGGTCCATGGCAGGCTGGTGAGCACCTCCCGACTCTGCTGCAAGCTGGCCTGGGACGTGTATGTATGTGCCACCTCCCATTTGCTCATCACCTGTGTGCTGAGGGCAGTGAACATGTTTCTCCTGTCTTCTGTTTGTTTGTTTTTTTGTGGTACTGGGGATTGAACTCAGGATCTTATGCTTGCCAGGCAGGCACTTAAGCCACTGAGCTATATCCCCAGCCCCTCTCCTGTCTTCTGGTTTCCTGTTATGAGCATAGTTTGCAGCACAGGCAGATCTTGATGAGATGCCTGTTAAAATATTTCCAGGGCCGGCCAGATAGCTCAGTGGACTAAAGAGCCTGCTTAGGCAATTGCTAGAGGACCAGGGTTCAATCCCCATGCCTTGCTGGCCCTGTCCCACGGGGGTGCGATGACACAGTGATGAGACGGTGACTGAGACTGGGCATGGTGGTACGTGCCTGTAATCCTAACACTTGGGAGGCTGAAAACAGGAGGAACACTACGAGTCCAATCTGCATTGTGAGATCCTGTAGGCCCTGTACTAAATACATAACAAAAAGAGATTTCCAGATGGAAATGAGGCAAGTGATATTCTAGAAAGGGGAAACGAGTCAAGCCAGGTGTGGAAATGCTCACATGGTCCTAAGGGAAGAGCCATGCTCCCCCAGGCTGCATGGGCCTCACTGCTGGTGAAAGGAAAGGGAATGCTGGGTGCAAAAGGGGGTCAGCAGGATCAGGGCATGTAGTGTTACGTGTGGTGGGCTTTATCTATAGGCATTATCTCCCCCCTTAAAAGAACATTCTGAGCAGGATAATAGGCCAAGAGTGAAGAGAACACAGGTGAACATGAGAGAACAGCTCAGTACTGAAGGGAGTAAGGCGATACAGCCGGTCCAGCAAGCAGCACGCGTTGTCCCGCACTTCTGCCCTCATCATAACCACTTGTGGCCATTACAACTGCCGCTACGCTGCACTCCTCAGAGGAGACTCCGATCGCAGCACAGCTTCACCTGTGAGTTCCCAGGACCGGAAAGAGCAGCAGAGCAGCACCAGCTAGGGCTCAGACTCCCACATCCCCAGAGCACGCATCTCAGCCTCACCAGCTGCACACCTGGCAGCCCAACCCTGAACTCTGGGACTGAAGAAGGTGTGCAGAGCCCTCTTGACAGATGCTGTCACTCTGTGATGGCAGTGACCAACATAAAGGGTCACTCAGCCTCTGGGAAGGAGAAAGAGGAGGTTTGGGGCCAGCCCTGCTGAGATTGCGGAGCGTGTGGACTTTCTCCAGGGCCCTTCCCAGCAGCAGAGGGGTGGAGCTCATGGGAGAAGCCGAGCCTCAGTGTGAGATGACGGAACGGGATGCTCTCCTCTCATCCCAGCCTCCGAGGACCCATACCTGCTCGTGGGCCATGCAGATTTTCAAAGGCTTTGTCTAGGTCATCTTCATGCTTCTGAAGGCACTCATATCCCTTAAACTCCATGCTGTCCTCAAAGGTCAAAGTTTCACTTAGCATGTCTGCTATCTAAAGCAAGTCCACAGTATTTCGTGAGGGACAAGTCATATTTGGGAGAAAGCTAAAACATTTTTGGTGTGTTCCTGGTGATACCAATTAACATGATATATGGTAAGGATTCAGTATATGTTTATTAAACAAATCTGTGGTTTCAAAGTGGAGCAATGTTGAAAACAGGAACAGCAATTTTTCTTCCCCCTTGTCAACAAGACAACAAGCACTCATCACAGGACAACATTTGGGGAGTGGAGGTTGAGACAGGGTCTCCATACGTTTCCCAGACTGGCCTGAAACTCCTGATCCTCCTGTTTCAGCCTCCTGAGGAGCTGGGATTATAGGAATTACCCCCACACTCAGGTAACTTGATTTTCTCTAGGCTTTCTGCCCTTCAGTTCTCTCCTACAGCATTCTCACCACAGCCCCGCTCTCAGTATCTAACAGCATTCTGGCCAGGGGGCATTCTGGTGCTTGAGGTGGAGTCTCACATTGCCCAGACTGGTGTTGAATGCTTGGGCTCACGCAGTCCTCCTGCCTCAGCCTCTTGAGAGTTAGGACTAGAGGCATACAACCCAGCTATCCAATATTCTTGACTAGATCCATAATCCTGCTCTGAGAACCCTATAATCAATAAAATGTTGGCCAAATAAGAAAGAAAGAAAGAAAGAAAGAAAGAAAGAAAGAAAGAAAGAAAGAAAGAAAGAAAGAAAGAAAGCAAGCAAGCAAGCCCTGGTAGATAAAGCTTTTTAAGGCCCCTTCTTTCATTCCAACAGGCCAGCCTCAGCACCTGACAGCACAGAAGCCCTGTTACATAACACCCCAAGATGTGCTCGCTCTGATCTTGAGCCTGACAGCTCTGGGGGACACAGACGCCTCGCAGATGAACAGAAGTAGGCCCTAAATAACCAACTTAATGAAATAAGTTCCTATTATTATCAGTTGTAGGGCTGGAATCAGGGCCTCATGAATGCTAGACAAGTACACAGCCACTGAACTCTGCCCCAGCCCTCTGACAAAGTCTTTTTTTTTTTTTAAAGACATGATCTCACTATGTTCTGGCTTGCCTTGAATCACTATGTAGCCCAGGCTGATCTCAGATTTGTGAGGGTCCTCCTGCCTCAGCCTGCCAAGTGCTGGGATTACAGGTGTGTGTCACCACACAGCCTAACAAAGTCTTTAAGTAGCAAAAGGCTTGTAAAATTATGAGATTATAACATTAGTTAGATTTTTGGACTTATGTGTAAACATACAAATCATGTAATTCTTTATGCCTATTTTTAAAATATATTCTAATTTTTAAATGTTTTTTCATCATATTCTGTAGGGACTTAAAGTTCAATATATCAATACTTGATGAAAAATACCTGTTCCATGTTATGCCTAAGATATTTGATATTTAGACAGACAGTGAGGTTAAGCTTAACAGCCTAGGTTGTATCGTAATAACAATAAGCTTCTCTTCTGGAGGGTTAACAACCTAAGTTTGCAGACCAAAATTAGAGGAAAAAGGAGGGCCGCAAGGAAAGCCAACATTTTGGCCCTAGCATTCCAAGGTCAATTAAGACTCAGGACATATGAGATCTTGTACTATAACGTCATGTAACTCAGTAGTGTCCCAAATTTTCTGATGAAGGAGATTATGGGGCCAAAGAGGAAAGTGATCGATGATGTAGAGTGTGCCTAAGGAGAGTCACATGGAGAGAAATCATTCTCTCAGCCTTTCACGGGGAGCACATTGGCCAATCAATGTCCATGACTCATCCACATGGCTGACACTGACAAAGGTTCTACAATCTGAGGTGCAGGATCTCAGGATAAATCCTGAGGGGATTTCACTGACCTTATCAGAACCAAAGCTACAACTGTTGTTGCATAGGTCCTGCTTTACCTTGGTCTTAACCATCTAGCAGAAAAATATAAAAACGAAGTATAAGAAGTAAAGCCATGCTGTTATGTTGAGCTGTAGGGGACTCAGGTTAACCATTTCTGACATTAACAGTGAAGCGGAAGACCCAATACTATTATGGACTACTGGACTCTTTTAGAATATTTTGCTGAGTTAACACACCTATAATATTCAAATAACGGAACTAAACAAAAAAAGAGGTTATAGATGAATGTCCATTTTGTATCTGTATATTCAAAGTGGTTAGGATAGATATATAGTTACATTCTCTTAATGAATAGAGGGATTTGTTCTAATAGTGTTTGTAAATAGGATATCATGTCCACATCTTGTACAGCAATTAACCACTAGGAAGAATGTATGCAATGTGTTTATTATTGAAACTGTCCTACCAATTTGGTTTGAAATTGTCTCATTGCTATTTATTTCTCAATAAAATTATGGGGAGAAAAAAGAAATTATAACAATAAAAGCTTTTGGGTTTGTAGGGGAAGCCAGTTTAATGGTAGGAGTTAAGCCCAGAGCTTTGTACTTGCTAAACACATGCTCTACCACTTAGCTACACCCCTAGCTCCAAATAAGTTTTTAATTCTTTTGTAGTACTGGAAATTGAACCCAGAACCTTCACAGAACTACATCTCCACACTCTTTTATACTTTTACCTTTGAGAAAGGATTAAACAAATTTGCTAAATTGCCCAGGCTGGAATTCTCCTGCCTTAGCCTCATGCCCAGCTTCAGTTAAGTTTTAACTAATAAAGAATATGAAGGGCTAGTTATGTTATTTAGTGGTATATTACTTACCTAGCATGTCATGTACAAAGTTCAATCCCAGAAAGAGAGAGGAAGGGAAGAAGGGAGAGGAAGAGAGAACATAGAATACATTAAGTATCAAGTAAGATTGTTCATACTTAACTTGTAGTAGTCTAAAAGATGAATTCAGAGAAGATAAAATAGAAAGACAAGTTAGATACCAGTTATATTTTACATTTGTTAGCAGGGCTGATTAAAAAAATGAGATACAAGATGTTGAACTCAGGTAATAAGATTTGGATTCACCCCCCTCATGCATGTATTGCTGTGCAAGGAGAACCCAGGTGTGCAGCTGAGATCATACCACACACACATAAGGAGCCATCAGTAATTCAGCAAGATCTGACAGAAATGGGCACTGTTTCAGATATGTGCTCTTCTGAAGGCCTGAAAATTAGATGTTGACTATGTATCATACTTTGGCAATGATAAAAAGGAAGGAAAATAATTCCTTTATAAAAGAAAGATAAAATGGAATAATCCACCTAAGAAAATAACCTAGATTTTTTTTTAAAAAAGAAAGATAAAGCAGAGTGGTGGTATGCACCTGTATACCACCTTGGAGGCCCAGGCAGGACAGTCATAAGGTAAGGCCAGCCTGGGCCACATACTGAGTTCAAGGCCAACCTGAACTACATAGTGAGACCATATCTCAAAAAGCAAACAAAAAAGGTGGGGGGGGGGAATAAAAAGAAAAAGGGTATTTGAAAGTCTCTTTTGAATATGAAAGAGTTTTCTAAGAATACTTGTGAATATTCTTCCCACAGTTCATAGAGCAAGTCAGGATGTTTAAAATCTACTCCTTTCTCTTACCTATGAATGGATATGCACACTTAATGACATACCTCTTCCACTTGGACAGAGTTTCCATCAGACATACATTCATCCAAATTAATTTCGAATTTTACCCCTCTCTAAAAGAAAGCAAGAAAGCCATCTTAGGTTTAACAAATCAGGAAAAGCCTTAGAATGTATTGTGATATTGTATGGACTCAGAGTTGTTGGTCTAGCATCATAAATAGGACTATTGGCTATTCTATAAAATAATACAGACGAAAATCATGTAGGAAACCCACATGGCATGGCGTGGTCCCCAACCCACTTTCTAACATAAAAACCAAAAGATAAAAATATTTATTACCTTAACTTTATATTTATATTCTGGAATTTTCCTTTCCTTTGTGGTCTCAAGCTCAATTTTGTTCAAGTCTCTTTCAATGTCCTGAGAGTTTAGAGAAAAACAATTCTGTCACAATATTGAGCAAATTGTACTTTTTGAGCAATTACATTTTTGAAACCTCTGAATTCAGAACACTGTATATTTATGTGATTGCAAAATTGAATCTGATGATTGATTTTAGCATAAAAGCATACTTTGTGAAGCAAACTTAGTAACAGTTCACTAAAAACTTAGGCACAGCGCTCACCAACTTCAAACGTTCACACATGGCGCTGCAGTGGTTAAAAGTTCCATGGTATGGCGATGCTCACCATTCCAGTACCATCCAATCCAAACCATCCTGACTCAAAAATCTGACTTATCAAATCAGACAACATGGTACACCCCTCTAATCCCAGCACTCAGGAGGCTGAGGCAGGAGGATCACCATGAGTTTGATGCTACCCTGGACTCCATAGTGAATTCAAAACTAGCTTCAACAGCCAGGGAAATAGCTCAGTGGCATATGCACCTACCTGGCAAGTGCCAGGTCCTCAGTACCAAAAAAACAAAAACAAAAACAAAACAAAAACAAAACAAAAAACCCCCTAATACTTGTTTTCCAAATTCTAGGTACTGAGCCCAGGAGGACCTTCACAATAAAGTACAACCCCAGTCTCCCAACTTTGCCTCCAACTTTTTTTGTTTGCTTTTGAGACAGAGTCTTATTAAGGCACTAAGTGCTCAAGCCGGGCTTGAGCTTGCAATCCTCTTGCCTCGGCCTCCCAGACAGTAGATAAGTGCCATCTTTATGGAATGGCTTTGCAGTGTGTATCTTCAGGCTTCACTTTCCTTCTCTTCAGAGTTTTAGATTCACACCACCTGCCTAGTCAGCAATACCTGGTTTTATTTTCTTTGCATTACTTGGGGTTGAATGCAGGGCCATGCCCACGCTAGGTAGGTACTCTGCCACTGAACTACAGCTCCAGCCCCTCTTTTTCTTTTTTCTTTTTTTTTTTTTTTTTTTTTGTCTTTTTGAGACAGAGCCTCACTCTCAGTTCAGGCTGGCCTTGAACTCACTCTTATAGCCCAGGCTGGCCTTATACTCAAAAGGATCCTCCTTTAGCCTCTTGAGTACTGGAAATCCAGGCATGCGCCACCATGCCCAGCTTTTTTAAAAAAATTATGAAGCAGGCAGTCACCAGGTTGGGGTGAGACTATGGGTCAGCACAGTGAACATGGCCAAAAGCCCCCACTCACACGGAGCTTACATTTCACTAGAGCAGGACATGTAATAAGCAAGTTACCAGATTGGGGCCGGGGAGATAGCTCAGTAGAATAAGCGCTTGCCTGGCAAGTGCAAGGGCCTGAGTTCTATCCCCCGTTCCACCAAAAAAAAAAAAAAAGTTACCAAATTAATGATACAATTTAAGAAAAAAGTATCGAGCATTATAAAGAAAATTAACTAGGATGGAAAATGAGGAAGGGGTGAGAGTAATGCAGGAAAAACTGTTTGACTGATTTAAGACTTGGAGGTGGGGGGCCTCGGCAGAGGGCTGAGAAAGTGCTGTCCATGCCAGGCAGGAGCCACCAAAGGCCCAGAGCAGGAAAGTCACCTCTTAGATCCCCTCCGACTCCAGGGTCCAAAGTGGGACTCCGCTCTCAGCCTCCTGAGAAGCAGGCACTACAGGCTTCTACCTCCAGACTAGACAGTACCAGGGGCCAAAGTTACTCCCCGACCTAATACAGCCACATCCAATATAGAAGCAATGGCATTTAATTCATTAGACAACCAGAATGAAAAATAGAGGCCCCTGGAAAGGGGGAAATGAATCCTAGAGGATTAGTGGTCCAGCCTCTGTTTCAGAGTCTGAGAGTCCCAGTGTGGGTCTGGGGACCCTGCAGAGCCTGGCAGACCCCATGAGTCAATATGGCAAAGCAGGACTGGCCAGATAGCTCAGCAGACTAAAGCACCTGCTTAAGCAGAACACAGGGGCTGGGGTTCGATCCCAGTGTGCTGTGCCGGCCCCACCCCTGGGTTGTGCTGAGATGGCAATTGAGACTGGGCGTTGTGGCACACGCCTGTAATCCCAGCTCTTGGGAGGCTGAAAACAGGAGAATCACTATGAGTCCAGTCTACATAGTGAGACCTTGTAGACCCTGTAGGCCTTGTATGAAATACATAAAAATTTTTTTAAAATTAGAAAATTAGAAAAAGATGACACAACAGGGAATGAGGGATGCTAAGGCAGCTGGAGCTTGGCAGACACAGCCCCGGAAAGCACAGAGCTCCAGAGAGAGTAGCCGTCCGGCAGAACTGGGGGAATGTGGTGCAGTACAGATGCTTTGCAAACCTATCTGGCATTCTCCTGAGAAGTTAAATAGGCCAACCAGGTGCTATTTGGGAGGTTGGGACAGAAGGATTCCACATTTGAGGCTAGCCTGCACACTGTGGCAAGATCCTATGTCAAAATAAAATGAAAATGGATGGGGTAGTGCACTTGCCTAGCATGGGTGAGGCCCTAGGTTCAAACCCCTGGGGACAAAAAGGAGAGGCAGGTATATACTGCCCCAATGGACAATGCAAACTAATCTAATGAAGGAACACTGCAGGTGTGTAGTTGCCTAAGGGACGACATGGGAGGAGAGGCAGGAAGAATACAGGAAAAAACTGATACACAAAGGCTTGTGAGCTTCTTATCAGATCACCAGGACCAGTAGGTGGGCAGCTGCCTTGCCTACCTGCACAGGAGTGTCCCCCTCAGGAGCATCTTGTCCACCAGGCAGGGAACTCTTCTCCACCAGATAGGTCTTGTGACTGATCCGGGAGCTCGCCTATAAAACATAGTATTCACAGTCAACAAGATTAGTTCTTCCTAGCTCAAGGTTTGTTTGTTTGTTTTGCTTTGTTTTTACCTTACTGGTGCACTTTAGACGTACATATTGGTCACATTCATCTTGTGAAATCTGTACCTATACATGAGATATCTTGCTTCTCCTGCCCTCCCTTCAACCTCTCTTCCCCTTCTTATTTACAAAAGCTTTTGTTTCTACTTTATCTTTCTATTCTTTCTTTCCTGATGTCTCATCTTGCCTTTCCACTCCCCCTGTCCTGTCCCTTCTTCCTGGCTTGCAAAGGCTACTTTCTGTGCTTGGCTAGGTTTCAATAGGTCTGGTGAGTGGGTCTGAAGAGGAGATGCCTCCCCCTGCTGGCTGACCAGGAACAATGGGAATGAATGGTGTCAGTAATCTCCTTTTCCCTCTTCCTCCCCTCCCCCTCTTCCTCTCCCTCTACCTCTCCTTCTCCCACTCCTGCTCACTCTCACTCTTGATCTCTCCCTCCTTCCTCCCAAATCTTAGGCCCTAGCAGATGATGGCAACTCTCTCTCTCTCTCTCTCTCTCTCTCTCTCTCTCTCTCTCACACACACACACACTATAGCCTTCTTTGTGACTTATCTCTGTGTCTGCCTCAGAACTCCTCTACTGTTTCTTTCAGAGTCTTTCTAGGACTGACTGCTATCCAGCGCTGGCCTACCATGCATGAGGCTCTGGCTTCAACTCCCGGCATAGTCCCCCAAAAGAAAGCAAGAAAAGTTTGCTGTCCATGTTTCCTAGACTCAGTCTACTGCTGATGGTGCAAGACTCCCCATCATCTCCCACTATCCTCTCTGAGAACCATCCCCCAAGCCACCCGGGGCTGGCTGGGGCACTCCTAGAACATCCATGCTCACTGGAAGCTTGGCATGTTTCTTCCAGAATGCCCCCTTAGTTTGCCCTCTCTACATTCTACTCTTGCCAGCTATGGTGGGACATGCCTGTAATCCCAGCCCTCAGGTGGCTGAGTCAGGAGAATAGCCATGAGTTCAACACTTGCCTGGGCCACATAGTGAGTTCAAGGCCAGGCTTAACTATACAGAGACCCTGTTTCAAAACAGCAATAATTAATTGAAACAAATAAATTCCACTTCTCTCTGATCCAAATTAGGCTTGTCCCTCTTCCATCATACTCCTCATCTTACTCATCTTACTCCTCATCTTACTCTCATCTTTGGTAACTAACATACCTACAGTCAGTCTTGTTCTATAGTTGTTCAAATGCAGGCCTTAGCTTTCTAACCATGTACACACAGCACAACATCTGTTAGAAAAAACAAAGGTCTCAGAGTCAGATATTTAAATATTTAGTTGCTTTGTAATGTCCATGTGATTTTGAGGGCATCCCTTAATTCCTCAGTGGGGGGATAAACAGAAGGAATGTGTGAATGCTCCAGTTCAGAGCCTGGTATGTACAGCTGAATCATACCATGTGTTCACTTATGTATATGCACTCAGGGCTGGAGGGGAAGGTGGGAGGAGGGGGCAGCACCAGTGGTGAGGCAGGTGTGCTCAGTGCATGTGCAGCCTCAAGGCCAGAGACAGGAGGAGGAAGAGGTGAAGGAGGAGTGAGAGGAGGAGGACAGGGGAGCACTCTGGGCTCTAAGGGCTTTTCTAGTGTTGGAGGAGCAGGCTCCAAAGAAACAGCCATCTGCCATAATTCTAGAGACCTTCCCAAGAGCCACAATGAATTTCCAATGTGCCACCTCTTTGGATTTTCAAGAATAAGCTCTGCTGCTTTTAGATTTTGCCTTGTCCCATCTTTCATCACTTAACAGGGATATGTCCTGAAAAATGAGTCACTAGGAAACCATGTAGGGTGCACTGACTCAACCTGAGATGGCTGTGACCTCACTACAAGGTGCAATCTCATGGAACCATCCTCTATCTATGGGCTGTCATTGGCCTAAACATTTTTGTGCCACATTTGACTGCATAGATTTTATTTTATTTTATTTTGTACAGGTCTATAGGGTCTACAGGGTCTCACTACACAGATTGGACTTGCAGTGATCCTCCTGTTTTCAGCTTCCCAAGTGCTGGGATTAGAGATGCCCACAACCACACCCAGTCTCAGGTGCTGTCTCACCTCGCCCTGGGGGCAGGGCTGGCACAGCATGCGGAGGATCAAACCCCAGTCACTGCGCCTGCCTAAGCAAGTACTTTAGTCTGCTAAGCTGCCTGGCAGGCCCTTGACTGCATAGATTTTAGAACCTTACCCTGCATAGTTGAATTCAACAAATTCTATTCTCTTCCCCCACACTTATAGGCACGAGTGCAGACTCAGTTTGGACTTTTGGTATCCAAGCCTGTTCTGCTTTACAGCAACTGCTCGGTTAATACTACTAATCACAAACAAGCCAATCAATAAGTATTTTTAATAATATCCAGTCTTAGCTGAGCAGTGGCACACACCTGTAGTCCCAGCACTCTGGAAGACTGAGACAAAGGGATTGCAAATTCAAGCCAAGCCCAGGCAATTAGCAATTTAGCAGGACCCTGCTTCAAAATTTTAAAAAGGGCTGGGGCTTAATCTCCAGCAGGATTTGCACACACACACATGCGTGTATATACACAATTTCTGAGATTCTCAGATACCCCCATCATCATGCTTAATCTCCAGGAAACCTTAAAAAATTAAGTTTTTATGAGGTCTAATAGCTTTTCTGCTACAAAAGAAGCCTGCTTGTTTATTTCTATGATAAAAATCATACTTTTTCTGTAAAATCACGACTTTCTTTGTTAGAAGCAGGAGATGCTGCAGATTGCACCTGGGAACATGCTCAGCACCCTCTACCAGCCCCCACAAGCCCCACTTGGCCCCTTCCATGGTCGTTACTGTAACACCCTCTCGTGTCACCAGCTGTAGGCTGCCAGAGCAATGTGTCCTCTAGGAGAGAGAATTACCTCCAGCTCTCTCTCCATCTTCCTCCTCATCTCCTTCACATCATCGTGGTACTGCTGGTGTATTTCCTCTAACTGCTTCCAATATTCCTGAAAAGCAAACCCAATCCAAGAAATTTAAATGTGTGCAAACAACCTAACAATAGTAATCTCCCTATAACCTATGATTTTTATAATGCACAATATAAAACAAGCATCAGAACACTTGCGGTTCTTAAAGATGACCATGTGCTTGCTCTAGGCCATGACACTGCACACAGTCTGAGGGGTGCATTGCGGGGTACAGGTCTCAGGAACACATAAATCCCAATGTGGTACCAAGGTACAGTCTCTTTACACGTCCGCTTGAACAACAGTCCTGTTTAAGGTGAATGTTTTCCTCTCCAAGGCTACCCTCTCTGTATCTCCGAATGTGCCCTACTTGGGCACACTGCCCTACATTGCCCTACATTGTCTCTGCAGATGGAATTGGTTACATGAGTTCATACATATACAGTGGTCCCAGTTCAAATGACTGGTGCTCTTTTAAGAAGACAGCCACAGTAAGATAGAGACAGGGTGGGAAGGAGGGCAGCTGTGTGGCAAAAGCAGAGATTACAATTGTGTAGCTGCAAGCCAAGCCAGCCAGCCATCCACTGACTGCAGCATCACAGGAGGTCAGGAAGAGGAAAGCAGGAAGCCCCTGTGGTTTCAGGGGATGTAACTGCCAATGCGAGGGACATCTGGCCTCCAGAGCCAGAAGGTGATATATTTCTGTTGTTTTTAAGCCTCCCTGCTGGCAGCGCTTTGTTTTACAGCAGTCCCAGGGAACTAATAAAAGTCCCAATAAGTTAATGATGGACAGTTCCCGTATTAATCCAAGGGAAAAAAGTGTTATGGACATAGCAGCGCTGCACTCTGTGCACAGTGAAATACATAATTCTGTGTCCCTGGAAACACCTGGCAGGCTCTTCCTGTGAAAATAGAGTGCAATGGCCCCTCTTGGGCACCCCCTGAGCACAGAAGCAACTCCCAGCACAGTGCAAAGGACGGCACCACAGCCACACCGCTTCTAACCTGGTCCTTCATCTCCTTCCTCCTACACAGCAGCTCCCGGGAACAAGGCTCTTCTCTGTGGCTCCTCGGACCTGTGGTCCTGTGATTTGGCTCAGCAGAAGATGGACAAAGACCCTAGTAGATAGACTACATTCATTATCAGGTCAAAGCAAGACAGATACACATGGGATATGTAGCAGCCTGTCTTAGCTCCAGAATTCTGAGTCAATACTCCTAGGTAAGGATTCAAGTAGTAAGGTACAATGGATATTGAATTTTTTTTTTGAAATTGATTGACTGATTATCTTTTTGAAACAGGGTTTTGCTATGCAGTTCAGGCTGGCCTTGAACTCACTTTGTAGCCCAGGCTCATCTCGAACTCACAATGATCCTCCTGCCTCAGCTTCCCAAGTGCTGGGATTAAGGCATGTGCTGCCACATCATGTTCTACACATTTTTTCTAAATGTGTAGAAGATTCTTGTTAAAATAAACAGAATCAAGCACTGTAGCACAGAAGGGATTATGAAGCTCATCTACTACAAAATTGTCATTTAGAGAAAAGGAAGGGCCGGCCAGATAGCTCAGCAGACTAAAGCACCTGCTTAGGCAGACGTACGGACCAGGTTCGAACCTTGGAGTGCTGTGCCCACCCCAACCCCAGGATGCACTGAGACTGGGATTGAGACTGGGTGTGGTAGTGTGTGCCTATAATCCCAGTGCCTGGGAGGCTGGAAACAGGAGGATCACTATGAGTCTGATCTATATAGTGAGACCCTGTACTAAACACGTAAAAAAATAATAAAATGCAAATAAATAAATAGAGAAAAGGAAAGAGGCTCAGAAAGGATCATGAACTGTCTGTGGTCACAAAGCAGGGATAAAATTGGGCTTCTCCCACTCTAATTTGAGCCTATTCTCATTATTCTTCTTTAGCATAAAAACCTGAGGCCTAGTAGGTGGGTAGTCTTCTCCTTCTAGTAGAGGGAACCTTGACTTAAGGGTCCATGAATAGCTGCTGTAAAGAAAGAAAATTATTAGGAAGTTCTGAAGATGCTCCTATTTGGTATTTTACTTACCAACTGCTTCTGCACTTTCAACTTGTATTGTTGAGCTTCAAACCTCCTCTGAAGGTACTCTACAGGCCTTTGGGAGGAAGAATGTCATTTTAAATGCAAATGTTATGGATCATGCCTCATGTGCTATAGTAGGGGCTTTTGGGAGGTGACTTGACCATGCATGTGTGTTGCTCATCATTGCAGTAGTGAATGGATGGGTTCAGAGCTGGGTGTGAAGTTGGGAGAAGCCTGCTGGGCAGACACGGCTCACAGGGTGTTGCCTGATGATATAGATCCCCTGTTGGCTTCATCCCGCGCTGCCCCCCGCCTGCCAAGTCACCAACGGTCTCTCCTCTGCTGTGTCCCCCTGCCATGCCACCCTGCCTTGGAGCCAGCCTCTTGCTTCTGTGGCTCTAATTCTTAATCTGTAAAGGGGACACAGCAGCATTTCACAGCACAAGCAATCAGGGCTTTGAAGGCAGCTGGCCAGACCTGTACAAAGTCCTGTTCGTTCATCCTACAGCTTGGAAATGGAGCTCTAGCAGAGAGAAAACTGGGGGTGGGGGCATGAGGAGGGGAGAACGCAGTCATCACAGGCTTCCTGGGACCCAGCAGGATGGGCAGACGTGGGCAGAGACAAGTCAGGAAAGAAAGGTTTCATGGTTCTGCTCCGGAGATAAAACCACCAACAACCAAAATAATCGCTACTTTGACAGCTTGCTCAGCTGCTCAGAGCAGAAGACATTTTCCCAGTGGCTGAAAAAGTTGTGTGGCTGCTTCCAGGTCACATGTGAAGTGTGCATCACAACTTGTGCTAATGAGACACATAATTTCGATGATCCTGAGGTAATTTAAAAGCGTGTCATGAGAGTGGATAAAACCATACCTACCAGCACCCAATATCTTTAAAAACAAACATCTACATTTCCCATTATGGAATTCTGAAAAAATTATTCTTTTATCACTCTTCCCTAATTTTTATTAAGTACTGCTGATACTGCCATCACACAGTCTCTTCAGTTTTTACAACTCATCCCAAATTGTGATTGCCTAGCATGCATAAGGCCCCAGGTCCTAACCTTACCATCAATCAATCAGTCAATCATCCAATAGCCAGAGACACCAAAGTTAGTGAATTCCTACCCCTCAACAACAATAAAATGATGACAAAATATTGCTTAAATAAACAACAATCAGGCTGAAGGTATGGATCAGGGTAGAGCATTGGCCTAGCATGTGTGAGGCCCTGGATTGTTCCCCAGAATCCCAAAAATAAAAACCATCTCTCAGACATAGGCCTTCAGGCCTGTGATGGTGTCAGCTGTTCTGGACACAGGAATACTGAAATCAGGGGAAAAACAAATCAGTGAAAATATTGTAGATCTGCAGAAATTTGTTATAAACTTTTAAAAAATCTATAAAAGCAATTTAAATTTATTTTCTTTTTTTTTTCACACTGGGATTGAACTCAGGACCTTGTGCTTGCCTGGAATGCGCTTATTCTACTGAGCTATTCCCAGCCTCACATCCATATTTTGAATTCCCTAGAATATAAGCACCAAATGAAATCTACTTCACGTTTCAAAATGCTCAAGTGATCATTTGATTTTAATCATTTGATTATTTATGATTCTTACTAGTAGCCTCTGAAAAATTAAATAAATACTATTTTAATCATCCCCCAGGTAGTAGACTTCACTAGGAGGAAGGAAAACAATATGAAACATTCAAGAGTATGGATCTTGCCTATGGTTAAATGGCACCATAAATAAGAAAATAAGCAACAATTTAAGGTTTTTGTTTTTGAGACAGGATTTTGCTATGTCTTCTAGGCTGGCCTTGAAGTCACTGTATAGCCCAGACTGACCTTAAACTCACAGCAATCCTCCTGCCTCAGCCTCCTCAGTGTGGGGATTATAGGCCAGGTGATTTAATTATTTAAAGTGGAGATTTTAGTAGCTCATTCTGGATTATATGTTTTAGGACAATTTGGAAGGATTTCAGAAAAAAAAATGGTGATAAATGAGGCAGGAGGTTAGGTATGGTTACTATGAATTTGGCAATTATAGATTTGTATTATGTATTTTATGCTAACTTTTTTTGGGGGGTACCAAGAACTCAGGACCTGGCACTTGCCAGGTAGACACTGTGCCACTGCCAAATGAAGACCCTTCATTTAAGCCCAGAAATTCAAGGTGACCCAGAAAACACAGTAAGACTCTGTCTCTAAACAGGCAGGCAGGCAGGCAAGCAGACAGACAGACAGACAGACAGACAGACAGACAGACAGACAGACAGACTCACTGACTCACTGACTCACTGACTCACTGACTGACTAGATGGCGGTATAGGAAAATATTTTCAGAGGACCAAAGCTTAGGTTGTTAGACTATCACATTACCATTGAGCAGGCGATGGACCATGACTTTCTTCCTCATTGCAACTCTCCTCAATTTCAGAATCTCTCTGAGGAACATAACCAGCCTCCTGGGCGCGCTTCCTCAAAATGTCAAGTTCAGCATAATAAAAATCATAATGTCTACAAATTGCAGCAAGTTTGGGATTTTCTATCATTTTTACCTGAGAGATTAAAAAGAAGAGTAAAGGTATATTTAAAATACATAATACGGGGGCCGAGGATACAGTTCAGTGGCACAGTGCTTACCTGGCAAGGACAATGTCCTGAGTTCACGTCTCAGTACCAAAAAAATAAGTTAAAATAAAATACATAATACAAATCTATAATTGACAAGTTCATAGTAACTGTACCTAAGACAAGGCATGGAAGGAAGGTGTATATTTACTGTTTTTACTCTAGAGATGTTTTCACACTAAAATATCTTAGAGTCATCAAATCCTAGAGTTGAAAAAGATGTCAAACATCTAAAGACTTGTAGCATAGCAGTTTACAATTTTGCCAATGAGTGGATACGAGTTATGTGCACTTCCAGGCTATCGTGTGAAAAACACTTTGCTAGCCAGTGTGTCAAGACAAGTTCCCAAACTAAACTGGTAAACTATTATTTGCTCTTTTTCATAAGCTTACTTAAACCTTATTGTATTTTACAGGAGAATAATACTAATATGTAAGTCACAGACTTGTGGGTTTGTAACACTAGTGGTTTCTGATAAATTGAATCAATGCAGAATGGTGTAACGGCCTGAAGATAATGAGCTGTGGACTCCCCGAGAGCTACACTTCCCTGGCAAACACAAGCAAGGGCATCTAGCTGCCGGGCCAGCACATCACCTCCCCAAATAGTCCTCCTGTTCTTGCCAACCAGAATGGAGTGAGAGAAGCAGAAACTAAGGCTTATCTTAAAGGGCAGAAGTCAAAAAACTAGAAGAGAAGAATCAGGCCAGATTAAGACAAGAAAACCAATCAAGACCCTTACTGAAGAGCGAGATGTCCTCAATTTCACATGAAGTCCAACACTTCAGTCTACTTAACAGTTGCTAATAAAAGAGGAAAAAAGACCAAAGTATGGAAAGGCCTAAGTTGGGGGTATGAACCAAGTGATTAAAATTGAAATGTCCTCACTACAAAGAAAGACCATGTCACTCTCTTTGTTCTTGCCTCATATACATATTAAATTAAACCATATCCAAGAAACAATGGACATAAGCATAAATTTTATTTTTAAATTTTTGGACAAGTAGTTTTCTTTGTTTTACTTTCACCAATATATAATCCAGAAGAAATTAGCAGTGACTGCTTTGGGGGGGGTGGTTGGGGAGTTTGTGATTACTTGTTGAAAATGGTTAGAAGTAGAAAAAAGTGTGGGATGGAAATAAACAACTTCTTTAACATTTCCTCTAAAATTCCAATAACAGAAACATCCAAGGTGGTTCCTTGGGGACCCATTAATTTCACTGCATCAGCAGCTGTTGGAATGAGGAGAAAAGATGTCATTTTACCAATTCTCCTAATTTAATCCAACCTTGAATCTTTTAATGTTTTCTTTCCTACAGGTGTAATACAGAATCCTCTTTAAATTTTCCCTCCCAGGCAGATCAGAGGTCACTTTAAGCCCCTTCTGTCTGCCATGTTGGACACCTTCCCACAATGTATGTGGAACTGGCAAGCTCCTACTTTATTTTTCATGTATTTAACACAGGGTCTACAGGGTCTACGGGGTCTCACTATACAGCCTGGACTCAGTGATTCTCCTGTTTTCTGCCTCCCAAGTGCTGGGATTACAGGCAAGGGCCACCATGCCCAGACTTATTGCCCTCTCAGCACACCCTGGGGTTGGGGCTGGCACAGTACACCTGGGATCAAACCCTGGCCACTGTGTTCTGCCTAGGCACGTCCTCCTTTTTTTCTAAAAAGGGGCAATAATTCAACCAACACTTTCAATAATCTCTTAAGCACCATCACATTTTTAGGGTGTATATATATATTGAAGAAACACCTAATCAGTGTGCTTCCAAATTTTTTTTTTTTAAGTAAGGGTCTACAGTGTCTACAGGGTCTCACTATGTAGATCAGACTCGTAAGTGATCTGCCTGTGTTCAGCCTCCCAAAAAGCTGGGATTACAGGTGCATGCCACCATGCCCAGTCTCAATTGCAGTCTCAGTGCCCCCCAGGGGCATGCTGGGGATTGAACCAGGCCACTGCATCTGCCTAAGCAGGCGCTTTAATCTGCTGAGCTATTTGGCTGGCCCTCCAAAATGTTTTTCTATGCCAGTGATGGAAAATCTTTTAGAGCTTCCAATAATAAAAACAAGTCCACTATGGCATGTGTGCTGTAGATTCATCAGCACTGCTATGAATAGACAGACAGATAGATAAAGTGATAAATAGATAGATATACTTATCTATCTATCTATTATTATTATTATTTGTGTGTGTGTGTGTGTGTGTGTGTGTGTGTGTGTGTGCGCGCATGCGCGCGCAGGGTCTCACTACACAGCTCGGGCTCATAGAGATCCTCCTGTTTTCAGCCTCCCAGACTGTGTTTACCTAAGCAAGCACTTAGTCTGCTGAGTAATCTCGCTGGTCCTTGAACATTCTTTAAAAATACAAGTTTTGGTACCTCAGTGGTACAGTGTTTGCCTAGTGAGAAATAGGCATTGAATTTGACAACCTGTAGCTTAAAAAAGAAAAAAAGCAATGGCCATTTTATCATTTATATATCAGAAGCATTTCATTAACTTGACCTAAAAGATCTAATACTCTATTAAAGTAGATTCCAATAATTATGAAGAAAGAAAACCTAAGTGGCCAGGAATGATGGTGCATACCTGTAATCCTAACTACTTTGGAGGCTGAGGCAGGATGATCACAAGTCAGGCCTAGCCTGGACAACTTAGCAAGACCATGTCTCAAAATGAAAACCACAAAGGGCTGGGAATATAGCTCAGCACACCCTGATTTCAATCCTCTGTGTTGGACAAAACAAACAAATAAACAACCTGGGGAAAGAGCAGTTACTATATAATAAAAACTTCTCACATTTAGAATTCTGAAACAGAACAGTGAGTCTGTTTGAGGCCAGCCTGGCCTATATAATGAGACCAGGTCAAAAGAAAAATAAAGTAAAACACACACAAACTCCTCAATTTTACACATAATACATTAGAGTTTAGAGTGTGAAGTGTACTATTTTATGTGATTTGTCTCATGTGAAAAACCTTATTCATATAAAATTTTGTAACTTATTTATAAAAAGAAACTAATATGTGATTGTAAGAAAATATAGCCCTTTTCTTTTTCTTTCTGTTTTTCTTTTTTTCTTTTTTTTGTTTGTTTTTGAGACAAGGTCTTGCCCACATAATTCAGACTAGTCTTGAACTCACAATGTAGCCCAGACTGGCCTCAATTTGGGGGCAATCCTCCTGCCTCAGCTTTCCAAGTGCTAGAATACAGATGTGTGCCACCACACCTGGTAGCATTTTTTATTTTTAAAATGAGAATAAAGTATCAAAAAGAACACTTTAGTGCTCATTACAGAATGATTATAATACAAGACCAGTGGGCTCCAACTTCATTGGCCCTAGTGGGCACTCACAGTCTTCTCAGGGGCCCACAGCTAGAGAACCGGGTGAGGGCCGCACAGGACTTACAGGCACAGGTCTCTGGGCTCCCGCTGGCGGGCTGCACTTGCTCCTACATGACGCGTCCGTCCTTGTAACAGGCACTGAGACCCCTGCTCTCAGACTCTTCCCCTGAAACTTCACTTTCTGCACTTTTGGATCTTATTTAACCAAAATAAAACAGAAATAAGGATTTAAAAAATGCAACCTCTTCTCTCTGGATGCTAGCAAGAGGATGAACATAAGCTGCATTTTATAGCACAGTAAGTTTGCTTTAGCCAGAAATGTTACACACATAGTAAGGGAGATGCTAATGAATACTAATATGATCTGTTGTGGATACAGAAAATCATTTCCCAGCTTTGCTTTATATATTTCTAGCAATATGTCAGACTGCTCTTTATTAAAAAGGAAGACCTGGTGTTAATGTTTACAGAAACACTGTCCATGGCTTGTAGTAAAGTTAAGTGTGGTTGTGACAGTGAGGGTTGGCAGGCCTCACAGGTCACCACTGCCCCTGCACTAGTGTCGGAAATGCACGAGTTGGTCTTCCATGTCTGTCTCCACCGCTATCACGATTTGTTCTCACTTTCCTACCTTCCCTATACCTGCAATGTAGACCATGTATGGGCATGGGGATGGATGGCAGTACTCGGGGCCTGGGGGGCAGTCAGGAGGAGCTAGGGTCTGAAGCCAATTTGGGCCAACAGCGAATTCCAGCCCAGCCTAGACAAGAGTGAGTTCCAGTTTCAAAAGATGGAAAGAAAGAGACAGAAGGAGGGAGAAGGGACAGTGCAGTGTCTCTCATTTTCAGTTTATCTACTTTCTACATACTCTCAGTCTAGACTGACCAGTAACAAGTGTCAAATTGAATTTAATTATCATTATTTGTAGTACTGGCAGCTGAATCCAGGAGCTTTAGCACATGAGACAGGTGCTCTGCTGCTGAGCTGCATCCCCAGCCCTTTTCACTTGGAGACTGGTACTGGAATTTAGGATCATCTTTCCTCCATCTCCCAAGTCACTGGGATTGCATGCATCGGCCACTGTGCTTAAATCTCAATCAATATGGCAAAGAGGCTTACTAATTTTGTCTTTATAATGTGCCTGGGTTTTTATTTCTCTATCCCAAGGCTAACATTTCCCTCTCACAGATTCCTTGGAGAGACTGTCTATCCCTTCCAATCCTATCAATTCAGACATAGCTAAATTCTACTGCTCCCACCTCCACACTGTCACAGGCTTTGTCATTTGCTCTTCACCAATGTGTACCCCACCTCCACACCATCACATGCAGCATTTCATCACCTCTTCTGATTCTGTTTGTCTTGTTTTACTTTTGTGACAATGTAATCCCAGTGGCAACGAACTCTATAGCTCAGGCTGGCCTTGAGCTTGAGAGCCCCTGACCTCAGCCACACGTGCTGGGATTGCCATGTGCACCATCACACCTGCCTATACTCTTGATTTCTCTCTCTCTTTTTTTTGTGGTACTAGGGATTGAACTCAGGACCTTGTGCTTGCCAAGCAAGTGCTTATGCTACTGAGCTATCTCCCCAGCCCCTATACTCTGATTCTTGACACATCACTAAAATTGTTCTCTCCACTTCCTGTTGCCATAAAATATCACGTTTTCTTTCCTTGCATCTATGCAGTTTTCTAAGATTCTAACTTCAACTGCAATCTCTCTCTCTCTCTCTCTCTCTCTCTCTCTCTCTCTCTCTCTCTCTCTCTGGTTTTTTGAGACAGGGACACATTATGCAGTTCAGGATGGCCTCAATTCACCAGGTAGCCTAGGCTGCTCTGGAACTCATGGCAATCTTCCTGCCTCAGCCTCCAGAGTACTGGGATTACAGGTGTGTGCCACCATACCCCGCATATGCAAGAGGATTCTTAATCACTCATCCATCTTCTCTACTTCAGAAAATAAACTTGTTTTCTCCCTTGTTCGTCTCCTTCTACCCGCCCCTTCACCACACACAAGTGACGTTTGGGTTCAGCCTCTTCTTCTGTAGTGCTTCCTGAAGGTTTCCTGGCCGAAAGGAAAGGACCTGAACCTCAGGGTCGCACCTGAGCTTGACACCCACTAGCTCCTTGTAAGGAGACAATTTCATTCCTTTTATTACTCGGACGTTCTAATCGTCCTTGTGCAATATATTTAGTGAGATTTCCCCACTCATGTTTGCAGCCGTCTGACCGTGTGAGGCACTCGTAATAAATGCTTTTTTAATGGCAGACAGTGAGTGCGGACATCAAAAAAAAAAAAAAAAAAAAAAAAAAAGAAGATGAAGAAAGGCTCAGCTTGATAGTGGCAGGAAACCCAGTATCGGCGATTCTGAGCCACGCACGGGGGCTGAGCGCCTTCCTTCCCTCCGGGTCTGCAGCTCCGCTCTCTGGCCGGGCTATGTCCCTGCTTCCTGGCAGCCGGGCTGCAGGCTCCTCCCCGAGCACCTGAAAGCAAGCGCGCATCAAGGACTGGGAGACCCACGCTCTGCCCAAGCAACCCGGGGGCCCACCAGTCACCTCGGGAGCCGAGTACTTGTCTATCAGCTTCTCCAGGAAGGGCCTCTTCAGGATGGAACCCTCGGAGGGGCGTTCCCGGGGCGACACCCGAAAGAGCTGTTTCACCAAGCTCCGGAGGTCGAGGGAAAACCCTGGTGGTATCGGGGCGACGCGCGCCTGGAAAATCTTCAGAGCCAGCTGGTGCAAGTTCTTGCCCTCGAACTCAGCGCAGAGAGGACCACGGCAAGTCAGGGAAAAGCTAACTACAGGTGCCAAGGCAGTGCGTGTTCTAAGAAGCAAAAGAATGTTTCCACTGCAGCTGGGTGTGCTGGGGCCGCCCTGCCTCGTGGCTCTCCACGCATCTATCCTAAGATATGCAGGATATGCAGGCAATTATTCAAAAACAGGCTGTGCACACGCGTTTTCATGCACACTTGGCTACCACGGAAATTTAAACAATCTAATAGATCCGAAAGTTAACATTTTTCTTCCAGAAGTTAATTTCACTTATATGATTTGAATAATTCAAGATGCCAGATATGGTGGTGCATTCCTGTAATGCCAGCACTCAGGAGGCTGAAGCAGGAGGATCACCATGAGTTTTCAGCCAGCCTGAGCTAAATATGAGATCAAGGTTAGTCTGTGCTACACAGCAAAACCCGTCTCAAAAAAATAAATAAATGAAAAGGTAAATATGTAAGTACTTCAAGATTAATTTCATGATTAACAACATACTTACAGGATGCTGGAGTGTGCAGAGTTCGTATAAGACACAGCCAAGAGACCAAATATCCCTAGGGAACATAAGAGTTTACACAGCAAGGAGGCATCCATGATTGCGGTTGTAGAGTCTTACTTGTGTGTAGCTTTATTTTGTACAGGTTAACCAGCTTTTACAAGTGCTTTCAGACATATCATCACTTCTAAGAGGTAAAATAAAAACCATCTGTAGTGTATCAGGTACCTACCAGTAGCAAACAAAAGATATACAAACTTTACGACAATCTCACGGCTCACCATTGAATTCAACTACATGCGCCTAACAGAAATGTGTCCATGAGGAAACTTCAGGAAATTTGAGGGAGGAAACCTGTAACCAGAAGGTAAATTGTGGTTGATTTCAAAAGGTATATTCCATCCCAACGTGGGGGCACATGCCTGTAATCCCAGTATGTGGGAAGCTAAAGTCAGATTGTTGTGAGTTCAAAGCCAGCCTGGGCTACAGAGCAAGACCCTGTCTCAAAGAACAACAAGAAGACAAAACAACACAGACAAAGGGTACATTCTACTCAAGGTTCTTGGCAAAACCAAAGTTATAGTAAGTGTTGAATATCCCATCTGGGTCTCAGTAAATATCTGAAAAATGTACTTGAACATTCTTTACAGACTTAGTAGTGTGTGTGTGTGTGTGTGTGTGTGTGTGTGTGTGTGTGTGTTTGTGTGTGTTAGTGATCAGACCCAGCACCTCAAGCATTCTAGGCAAGCACTCTACTACTGAGCTACATACACCCAGCCCTATTAGTAGACTTTGATGTCCTACTGATTTAAGAAGTTACTTTATAGAAGGGCGGGCCAGATAGCTCAGGGGACTAAAGCACCTGCTTAAGCAGAGCTCAGCAGCCAGGGTTTGATCTCCAGTGTGCAGTGTTGGCCCCTACCCCAAGGGTATGCTGAGACAGCAATTAAGACTGGGTGTTGTGGCACATGCCTGTAATCCCAGCACTTGGGAGACTGAGAAAAGGAGAATCACTATGAGTCCAATCTGTGTTGTGAGACCCTGTCCACCCTGTAGACCCTGTCCTAAAATAAAAAAATTAAATAAATTAAATAAAAAGAAGTTACTTTATAGAACCAAAAGCAAAATTCAATCTAAAAGACAAAAGAGAATGTGATATATAGAGGAGGTCTTCAAAAAGCTGAAGCAAAGACACCGAAGAGGGTAGAGTGGGCCATGGGTAACTGAGTGGTGGAACTTGAGCTCAGCATGAGACAGCCCCAGCTTTAATTCCCAGTGTGTGCGTGTGTGTGTGTGGGGGCTTTGAAGCTTTATATCTTAGGCATAGAAAAAATGTTTTGTATTCTATCTTGTTTATAAATAAATATTGGAAGATAGAAGTTGATTTAAAAGGTTAAAGTGGATTTTTAAAAGTAGCATATTATTGCCACTGATGCCCTCCCCCCCCAGCCACACACACACACACACACACACACACACACACACATTAGGATGAGGCCAAGGAGGATTCAGTACTTCCTACCCTCTGGGCCAAAGTTGGATGAAACCTCATGTGGATGTGTTCTGGCTTTTTGTTCTATCCCTTCTATTAAGTGCAGTGCTTTCTGTACATGCAGGGTGAGGCTGCTCTTCTAACCTGGCCAAATTGCCAAGTGCAAATATACTCATCTGAGCATTTTTGTGGGCTTCTTTTGTGGGCTTCATTTCTTGGTACTGGGGATTGAACTTGGGACCTTGTGCTTGCCAGGCAGGCACTTATGCCACTGAGCTGTATCACAGGCCTTTATGGGCTACTCTTGCAAGAGGGTGAAAGAACCCAGAAATGCCAGAGGGCTGGGCAAGATTGAGGTTTGAGAAGCACTGGCCAGGAACATAAAGATGATAGATGAGAAAGAGACAGAGACAGAGACAGAGACAGAGAGAGACATAGAGAGAGAGACAGACAGACAGACAGACAGACAGACAGAGAAAGAACGTGCATTTTTTAATAGTTGGTATATTGTGTCAATTTGAGAAGTCTAGAAGCGTAACTAAGTCAGCAATTGTTCATCCTATAAGGTAGAGGACATGTCCTTACTGCTCTAAGATGTTTGACTAAGTGACTAGCAGGGGGCCTCACTTTGTAAACACCTTGAGCCTGCACAAGAGGAGGGCACAGAGAGGGTGTGGGTGCCTCTCCCACCTGGGGTTGGGCAGTCTAGAGATTAAGAGGCTTGCTTTCCACCTTTTTTTTTGTTCTTGCAGATTTTGGTCTCCTCTGCTGCCTTGAACTGTTGCCCCTGTGCTATGACCCGCTGCCTTGGGGCAGCGGATTACAGACTGAAACCTCCATAAGCTGTGAGCTAAATAAACCTTTCCCCCTTTCACTTTGGGTGTTGGGTATTTTGTCTCAGCAATGAGAGAAAAGTAACTAACATATAGATGAATGTAAATACCCCACTAGCTGATGAAACTCTGTGTGTGTGTATGTGTGTGTGTGTGTGTGTGTATTGTGCATATGTGTGTGTCAGAAAGAGAAAAACTGACACTACAAATCTGACTATAGCAGAAGGCAAGTAAAAACTAGTAGGAAACAAATTTAAATTGCTTTCTACAGTTTATAGAAATGCAGGGGCCATTGGCCAGAATCTGTTTGGTGGGTAGCCTTGGCCCCAAGCTTCTGTCTCCAGAATAGCTCTGTGGCCGCCCTAGGGACTTACATGCCCAGAGGGCTATGAACAGTAAGGAAGCCACTTGGGGCTAAGTGGTAAGAACCCTGGCAACCAGGGCATGGTCTCCCTGTCTACAGGCGCCTCTCTGATTCCTGATCTTCCAATTTTAGAAGCACCAAAGGTACGTGTTTTGCAATATTTTCTTTTTTTCTTTCTCTTTCTTTCTTTCTTTCTTTCTTTCTTTCTTTCTTTCTTTCTTTCTTTCTTTCTTTCTATCTTTCTTTCTTTTTTTTTTTTTTGAGATAGGATCTCACTATGTAGCCCTGGAAGGTCATGAACTCACAGTGATCCTCCTGTCTCAGTCTCCAGAGTGTTGGGATTACAGCCCTGCACCACATCTGGCCTTTTCCACATTTAAATGCTGATTCTAATTCCTAAGAAGCAGTACAAGTAAATGAAACAATGCTGCTGCCTCAGAACTCAGCCTGTCAAAGCTAAACTCCATTCCACTGCTTACCTTCCTTCCAGGATTATCCACCCGCATTACTGAACAGTTCTAGGACAACCTCACTGGGGCCAGGGGATGGCATATATTTATCTCCAGAGGAGAAATATGCATAGATATTTGATAGATAGATAGATTGATTTTTTTTTTAAACAGGGTCTTTTTTGTAGCTCATGCTGGCCTTGATGTTTCTTTGTTGCCCACGTGTGGGAGGCACAATAACTCCAGGCGTCTAATCCTAGTGCACATGGGTTTCTGGGTTCCTCTTCCCCTACCTCTGCTGAGCTAGGTTCCTAGTTCTTACCCACCTATTTTCCATAAGTCTCCTGCTATGCCCAGGAGGTGGGACTTCCTGTCATAGCCTGGTTGCCTAGTTACTCTCGACTTTTACCTGCCCACGTCATTTCCCTATGCCTCCACTATATATACCCAGCACCTCCCCTGAATAAACGAGACTTGATCAAAATCCTGTCTTGTCTCCATTTCTCGCATCTCCTGTCCTTTGTCCCCTCTTCAATTCCCTGCTTCTCCTCCAGGTGACCTTTGTTGACTGACCCACTGGTTCAGGACAAGTGGTGCCCAACGTGGGGCACCTGGTATGGCAGATACAGTGACAGAACTGTTGGAGAGAGCCGGCAAGAGAGAAAGACAAAAGAGAAAGTGAAAGAGGCCTGTGCGGCAGTTGCCTGCTGCAACATCTGAACCTTGGTAAGCGGACGGCACCCCATTTCCCTTTTCCTTTGGCAATGGAACAGGCATTAAGTGAACATGAGATATTTGTAGAAAGTTTGACCAAAGCATTAAAGGAGTGAGGAGTAAAGGTTAAAATTAAGGATTTGTGTCAATATTTTGAATATATTAAACAAGTTTGCCCATGGTTCCCTATTGAAGGAACTATTGATCAGAAGAGATAGAAAAGGGTTGGTGATGCCCTTAAGGATTATTATGAGACTTTTGGACCTAAAAAGGTCCCAGTGATACAGGGAAGTAAAACTCCTGACCTGATCTAAATGAGTTCGTGTTCTCTAAAACTGAAAAATAGGGGCCAGGGAGATGGCTCAGTAGGATAAGCGCTTGACAGGCAAACGCATGGATCTGAGTTCAATCCCCAGTTCCGAAAAAAAAAAAAATCACTTCCCGTCATTGCTTATAGACCGGAAGTC